CAAGGATCAAATCTTTTCTACTTGTTCCCTCAAAAATAAAAGAATCATACAGAGAAAAAAAACAAGACTAACATTTTATTTGTAAGGAATATTCCACTGAGCATAAATCTTCCACAAAATGCATTACAGGTATTACCAAGTCACAACTGTACAATTTAAGAATCAGGGGAAATGTAATTATGGTGGAGACAGTATATGGTGGAGACAATATAGAGGTTCATTTGCCTATCTTTTATACATTTGGTTGCCCAATCCTTATTCATATCTGTGATCATTACTCACATAAATGGTCCTATTGAAATAAATGAATGACTTAGAACTACCTGAATGAATAAATGTTTGAAGGATTAGATCCTAAGTATTCTCTAATAGCAACTTTGCATACATTTAAGCAAGTGAACAGCTATAGGAATTTACAAGCACTATATATTCAGATTATTTATTTATATTTATAATAATGACACTTCTCCAAGGCTCTATACACTTGAACATAAACCACTGATAAGAGTGCCAACCTTTGTGCTTGCAATTATCATCAGCAGGTACTGCAATTTTGTGAGCAGATGAATATTTAGACATCTAGATAACTATTTGCATAGGCAATCATATCAACTGTATGTACAAATACAGACATGTAAGTATATGCTCATTTCTGTGCACAGACCTGGATCTCCAAGTTTAAAAATGTGGTCCTCATATTTTTGTGATGGGGCAGCTAGTGATGTTAATTTTAGTTTAATCAACAAATTAACTAGTCAATGGAATTTCCATCAACTATTCAATTAGTCAAGTGGGGGAGTCTCAGTAGGGTTAGCTCCTGGCCTCAGGAGCTAACTTCACTGTGGCTCTGCCTTTAAATGTATTAAGAGCCAGCACACTCTTAATACATTTAAAAGGCTGAAACGCAGCAGGGGGGACCAAATATGAGCTAAGACAGCTAATTCCCGGCTCTCACTAGGTCCTCCGTGTTGCACACCAGTGGTTTAAATGTATTAAGAGCTGGCAGGCACTTAAACCAGAGGCACAGTGTCCTGGGACTGGGTGTAAGCTGGGAATCAGATGACTCACGGCTTGCACCTGATCCCTGCTACCCCCCACAGAGCCAATGCTGTGGGGAACTGGCTTTTAAGCTGGCTCCCCCCAGCACTGGCTCCTGTTCCTCTTTTCCCCCCTTCCCCTGCCTTGGCTTATCGGGTAGCTGACTACTTGCTTACACCCCTACTTTCAATATTATGAATTTTTATCCTAAGTTTAAAAAATACACAGTACTTTTGTCACATCTAATTAGCTAAATAAGATCAGGCCTGAACAAACCTAATATTCGAGACCTCCAGAAAAAAGAAAAAAAAAGCAAATGTTGCAAGAAGCATTGATGATCCACTTGGTGATAATGAGTCAATATTGAAACAAGTCTAGCATGGTGCAAGAGCATCTGTGCTGCTGGAATTTCTGTCTTTGAGAACAGACATAAAACTGAGTTCCTGACCAATCACATTTATTAAAGAGCCTGTGGTGTTTTATTCAAGCTGAAAAGTCCACCTTGGACAATAGCATTATGCAGAATAAGTTCCTCTGTCACACCAACTGTACAAGCAACAAGGAATTCTGTGGCCCTTAAAAACTAACAGATTTATTTGGTCCTATAGTACCTTACAGACTAACAAAAATATTTAAATAGTGTCTAACATGCTACAGGACCATTACTGTTTTTTAAATTTTTTTAGTTACAGACTAACATGGCTACCCCTGTAAGGGTATGTCTACACAGCAAAGTTATTTCGGGAAACCGAAATAGCTACCCTGCATCTTTTGAACATGTCTGTTATTTCAAAATAGAGCACTATTTTGCCAACCCTGTAAACCTCATTCTACGAGGAGTAAAGAATGGCTCAAAATAGTGCTTTATTTTGAAATTTGGCACTGTGTAGACAGTGCCAAATGATGAAATAAGCTATTTCAAAATAAACTTAAAATAAGCTACACAACTTGCATAGTGCAAATTGCGTATCTTATTTTGAGTTTCAGGTGCTATGTAGATGCACCCTAAGAGATTTATTTGGGCATAAGCTTTCACAGGCAAAACCCCACTTCATCAGATGCATTTGATGAAGAGGGTTTTTGTCCACAAAAGCTTATGCCCAGATAAATCTGTTATTCTTTAAGGCAGGGCTACTCAACTTCAGCAGTCCCAGAGGCCACAATAATACTCACAGCACATGCTGAAGTTTAGTGTGGTTGCATATACATGCAAATATATATGCAAACAGCTTCTTTCTCACAATGCCTCGGAACTCCCAGCACCACCTCCCTGAGGGCTAGAAACACTGACACCCTATACCCACCTGTTCCAGCAGCCTGTCTGCTTGCGTCTTTCCATGTTCACCGTGCCTGGGAGACACCTTGCCATTGTGGAGCATGTTCCCAGTGGAGGCCATGTTCAAAGGATCCCACCCATGGGCTGCATGTTGAGCCCCGCATAAACCCAAACCGCACCATGGGCCGCAAACAAATGGACTGTTCAATAGTGATAGTTTCTCTCGCTCTGTCTGGGGCTATGTCTACACTACACTGTTCTTCTGGAAAAAGCTATGCAAATTGTGAACCACAATTTGTGAAGCTTTTTCTGCTTCTTTTTTCAGAAGAGGCTTTTCTGACATTCAGCCTGTCTACACTGGACCAAATGTCAGAACCCCCCTCTTTTTTGGAACATCCCTTCTTCTTCATAAAACAAGGTTTACAGGGATGCCAAAAAAGCGTGTCTGCTCTTCTGAAAAAAATTTCGGAAGAGCAGACGCGTTCCCCTGTGGTATCCTAGAAAAACTGTAGTGTAGATATAGCCTGGGGGTTGCAATCTGATACAGAGCATCACAACGCTGTTCAAGTTTGGTCTGCCCAACCCTCCAATGGAAGTAGGGCAGCTGGGCCAAATTTGAGTGCTTGGTGTTGCAACCTGGCATATGGGGTTTCAGTACCATTCACTCACATTTGACCCAACTGCCCCTCATTCATGATGAAGGAGGGAACCTCTGCCAAACCTGAACATTGCTGTCATTCTGTGAGCAAGATCATAATACTTGGAGCTGTGCCCAGTTCTACAGAATTAAAGCTGCTGGAGGAGTCGTTGCTGTAGTGTAAGGTTGTAAAACACCAGCACCCCTTAAAAAGACTGGTTATAACCCTTTGTATTCTCTGGCCAATCTGAGAGAAATCCTACCAGTTAGCAGCATAGTGAAAAGTAAATGCAGATTGTCTTTAATGATTTCAGCTCTCAATCATCTAGTTTAGTAGCATAGATCATTTAGAAATCTCTAATGTGGTTCAATTCAACTCTGGATTAAACTGATATTTTAAAAATCAGTCTGAAGGGCAGTGACACAAGGCACTTATGACTGCTGTTCCAGCAGGAGGGCCACTGACCCTATGATTTTCTTCAGGGCCTCCCATACCAGAGACAAACAAACATATACCTATCTCATAGAGCTGGCAGGGACCTTGAGTCCAGTCCCCTGCCCTCACAACAGGGCCAGGTACCATTCCTAACAGATCTGCCCCAGATGGCTTCCTCAAGGATTGAGCTCACAACCCTGGGGCTATTCCTCCCCCCCTTTTGCCCCTGGCCTTACACTTCCCCCAAGGAAAAGGAGCTACCGAGGGTGGGATTGAACAGGAAAATACATAAAGGTGGATAAAGAGAGGTTCCTAGGACTAATGGGGGGCGGGGGGGAGGGGGCTGGGGATCAATGGGGGACAAGGAATATTTAAGGGGGATAGGTATCTGTGGGATATTGTGAGATTGAGAGGGCTAGGTTCAGTGGGAGAGGGGATTATGTAAGGGTGGAATGGGAGTGACTGAATGATGGATAAAACAAAATAAATTCCTGAAAAGGTAACATTATTAAAAAATATAAAAATTTACATGGGGTTCTAGCTTTCAGAGAGCAGATTTAAGAAGGAATATTTAAGGGGGATAGGTATCTGTGGGATATTGTGAGATTGAGAGGGCTAGGTTCAGTGGGAGAGGGGATTATGTAAGGGTGGAATGGGAGTGACTGAATGATGGATAAAACAAAATAAATTCCTGAAAAGGTAACATTATTAAAAAATATAAAAATTTACATGGGGTTCTAGCTTTCAGAGAGCAGATTTAAGGTGAGGCCATGATCAGAGGCCAAACAGCCATATATTATCCAATCTTGTCTGAAGTCCGGTCTACTTAGTAGTTTGAATTTCCAGTCAGGTGAAATCCCATCCAAATGCTGTCAGCAACCTGTCTGGGACATGTGATCAGTGTTTCCCCAACTGCTTTCCCTATAGCTTCTCTTCCTTGTCACTCAACTGCAGTGGTTCTCACACTGTGGACTGGGACTCCAAAATGTGTCACATGACCTCCTGTGAATGAAGTTGCCAGGTCTGGATTAGACTTGCTAGAGCTGGGGATTGATGCCTGAGTCCCACAGCCCCAGGCTGAAGCCAAAGCCCAGCTTTGGGCTGCAGGGCTCAGGGTAAAGGTTCCCCGACTGAGTTTGAAGCCCTTGAGCTTCAGTTTTGCCCCCCATCCTTTCCCTGAATGGTGGGGCTTGGACTTTGCCCCCACCCAAAGGAGTGGGGAGTGTGTGGATTTAGGCTTCAACTCCCCCATTTTGAGATAGTGAAGTGATTTTTGTTGTCAGACAGGGGTCATAGTGCATTGAAGTTTGAGAACTCCCACTCTACTGCATGAGGGACTGCATTGAGCTGCTGTGGCCCTCCAGATGGAACAGTGGTGGCAAGTATCTTGTGTCCCTGCCCTTCATGCTTTTCAAACATTAGCAATCAGTTTAATCCAGAGTTAATTAAGCCATGTTATAGATTTCTAAATGATATATGCTACTAAACTAAATAGTTGAGACCAGAAATCAGTATAGACAATCTAAATGTACGATTCATTATGCTGGTTACTGGTAGCATTTCTCTTAGGGTGGCAGAGAATACAGACCACTCAATTTCACTATTTTTTCTAGTCAGTTTCATTGCACAGGACAGGCAAATTATTTATTTATTTATATTTTTCAAAAAAGTGTTTTCATCGGTATTAAAACAATCACAGAATCGGGCCTGCAGGGATAAGGCTTTGTAAAAGATTGTGCATCTGATACACAGCTGGGCCAAAAATAACCTAAACAGGCGCCACAGCCTCAAATATTTTCCCGCACACTCAACTTGAAACATATGAATCATTCTATTAAAGTTGGGCGATTCTTTTCAGGATTGCAGCCTCTGGCCACGCTGGGAGAAAGGAAGAGCGAGAAGGGAGCTGAGGAGGAGGACAGCTCCGAAGAAGGAACACACTGTAGGAGAAAGGGGGGGAAAGGATCGGCACTAGCGAGCCAGGTTTCACCCCTCTTCTGACACACTGCACTTGCACACTGCACCCCGTCCCTCTCTTGGGGTCACTGCAGCGACCGGCTTTCCAGAGATGGGAGCAGTGCAGCAATATCGCAGGACAAAAGGGTCCATCGACGTTGCGGGGTCTGCGCGGCGCCTCACAAGCGTCTGGGCTCTCGACGATCAATAACCGAACCCCGACCACAGATCCTGCAGGAGGGAGCTTCCCCGGCCGCAGCGAATCCCGGGGCTTGGGGGGAGAGGGAGGAGGCAGGATTAGGTGGCCGCCGCGCAGCAGCTTCCGGCCCAGGAGCCGCCTTCCCTGCAGCTGGAGCAGGAGGG